TAAATAAAAATATTTTTAATTAAGATTAGGACAGATTCAAGCATTGAGTTTATCAAAAATTGTGGCTTACACTAAAGATCAACGGTTAGCTGATGATAGACAAAAAGATCTTAGAAAAAAATGTTTAGAATTGTGGGAAGTTAAAGATGATGTAAGACGTGCACCATTTAGAAGTAATCCTAAGGATACTTGTAATTCACTGATWATTGGAACAAAAGGTAATCATATTATGCGTGTTAGATATTATTAGAATATAYTTAATTACTTAATTATTTTAATTAGTATTTTATTGTATTCAGATTTCTTACAGTCATCACCAGAAGTTTTAAACAAAGAAAATTTACCCAAGCACGTAAAGTCTGTGTATGACTGGCATTGTGTTTTGCTCAATAATTCTAAACCTCCTACTTATTTTTTGAGTATGTCTAGTATAAAATATTATAAACTATAAATAATTTYTTTAAAAATTCTTATAGGTTTAGGTGGTAGCCAAGTATATGAATTAGTTAATAATCAATGGGTCTCTAATGAATATTTAAAGAGTGTAATGATGAGTCCTGGCACACTTGTATATGGTGAGCTAGCTATTGAATTAGAAGGAGAAGATCTAGGACAACTTAGAGTTAGAGTATTGCACATTATAGATGCTTATAAGCTTGGTAATATTGATATTAGTAATGAACATTATTTATCAAGGTAACATTTATAATTAATTCAAATAATATTTGAAGGAATTTTTAATTATTAGTTTATGTTTAGGATAAATTATTGTAAAGATTTCGCAAAGTCCATGAATAAAATAGAATCGGATAAAACAAGGATCAGAGTAAAAGAACCCATATACTTAGAAAACATTTCTGACATTTTTGAAAAAATTGACCTTAGATGGTCGAAGTTCCATCGTAAASCTGTTAAGATGTACATGTTGGATAGTGAAAAATATTGTTGTGCTTCTGGAATATTATTTATTAAAGCCACATTAAGTAATTATATTATTTATCCGTTTAATTATGAATGAATTTTCCTTTTAATATCCATATTGTTACAAAATATCAGACTAAAATCAATACTGATAATAATATTAAGCCAAAAATGATGAAAAATTGTTTCAGATATTGTTATTATATYAAACTGTCTATTTTGTTGTAGAATACTAATTAATAATTCTTATATTATTTTAATTTATTTTATGCTGTTAACTTCGTGTAGGTCCATGGGTGAGAGCATTATCACGTACCTATAAAACAATGTACTATGGTCATCCATCAAAACCAGCTATATATGAAGAAGGAAACCCGGTCGCTGCATATGCTCCTTTTAGGTAAAATATTACTTTACTGATCATGTGCTACAGAAATTATCGAAATATTAATTTCTCTATAGGGACTGCCGTACAACTAATAAGATATGGTTTTGGATGGATGAATTTGGAAATCCATTAAAAAACCCAGGTTTGGAACAAGAAGATTTTGAGAATCTTATAAAGTAATTCAGGATTATTTTGAGTATTATTTTTGATTGTATAATTATAATTGAACATTCATTATGTTAGGTTGGTTATTTTAACTGACTTGAAATAAAAATAAAATTTAACTGGTATTTTATTTAAAAATTGTTTTGAAAAATCTCATTTTATAAAAACATCAAATTTTTTGAAGACAATGAATAATTTATTAGGTATTATAATTAATTATACCTGCTAAAAAATGCTTATTGAAAAATTTATATTACTAATAATCTATAGTATTGTTGCTGTTCGTAATAAGGTCAAGAGAAACCATACAAATATTTAAAATAGGAAAGAATTTCTTTCTATTTAAAAAAAACATTGAGATATATATGTTGGATTTATTGAGAACTTATTGACTATATACTTATAAAGTACAAAAGTACAATGAATGATTGGTATGTATTATTAAATTTATTAWAAAATATTGTTTTAGCGTAAATTATGTACACAAAACTATTAATCACTCATATTATTTGTTAATTGAAAAGTATAAAGTTCAAAAATCATGAGAAATATTCAAACGATTTATATTTTACCATACGTTTATTTTAAAATGCTCTTCATGCAAATACACTTCCTGGGAATCATGAGAATAGATAAGGTAAATTCAATAATAAATCATTATTCATTAGTAATATAATTAAACTGTTAAGTAATTTTAAATATTAATCTATTAATTATAAACCTAATAAATGAAAAGGTGAAGGATTGTATTATTTTTATAAAAACAATTTCTTATTAAAATAATAATTATTCATAAATCATAGCTATTAAAGTTTGTTGATTGTTATTAGTTTTATATTATTTTTAAACAAAATAATTCCTTAGCTTTTTGTTAAACTCTAAACTTTTATACTAAAGCAATACATTAAAGAAATTAAGTTATTTTTATGCAATATTAAATATACTAATAAGTTGTAGATACTTTTCTATACAAATAAAATACAGATTATTCAAATSCATAACATGGAATACAATTGCAATTTGTCACTCAAAACTATGAAGTTGATAATTGTAGAGCGTTTTMAATGTTCTTTAGGCACATTTTTGTACAATCATATTGTAATAAACATTTGCCTGAGAATAAAAATCTTCCAATTTCCATATCAGTAGGTATATCATAATTTATGAAGTGAAAAGTTTGGTGTAATATAACAATACTTCATTATTTCATAAAATTAAGTAAAGATAATTTMATCCTGCGTAGGATTTTATTTTAAAAGCTAAAATTAATGTAGAGTAAATAGTTATTTTTTGAGATATAATTGTAAAATTATTTTACATTTAAAAAAAATTGTTGGTTAAAATTAGAAAAATATTGATGGTGTATTGATTAATTCTAATTAATCACAGTACATTAATAAATAGGTACATACAAATGGCTACAATTTAAAATTTCAGAGTTCTTTCCTCAAACAATATTTGAGCATGCAAAATACTTGAACTAATTTTCAAGGAAAAGTTTTCAGCTGGGTGATTCTATTTAYCAACTGTTACTATTATTAGTTTATTACATTCTAAATAACTTATTGTAAATTGATTTTAAGATTAAAAATTTTTAAATAAATATTTAAAACATATTAAACAGATACAAATAAAAAAAAAAAAAACGAATGCAACATTGTAAAATTCAAGCATTGTTCAGAATCTATAATTGTTAATATTTATAAACAAAGTAAAATTTCAAAAAGTTTTTCAATTGAATTTCTTTTTGAAGTTAATATGTGTTCAACAATACTTTATAGTTACTCAATTGGAGCTCTAGAAGGGAGAGTTGAATTAAATTTCATAAATACGTCTTTGTAAACATAAATGGGTAAAAGTCTTATTCTTTTAAGAGATTCCAATAGAGCTTTTCCTTAAAAATATCTTTAACACAAGTTTTTTAAAACTTAAGTAATTATTTACAACATTATCGACATTGTTCACCAAACTTTATTATTTATATTAAAAAAAAAACTTGTCAGAACTCTAATATATACTTCAGTTAAGGATGGGGTCAGGAGAGATGGTTATTATTTATAGTTATTTTTATAGCTTATTATTAGTACATTTGTGTTCCCTTAATTATTATTTATTAGCTAATATAAAGCGGACAGAGTTAAATTATTTTAATACTGAAATTGAAAATTGGATTACAGTAATTATATAGCATTAGCATAGGTACTACTTGTCGACCGTCATGGTTGCTGTTAATCAAACTAAAAAACTAAAAAAATKGTTTTTTGTTTCAATTATCATGACATCGAGACAGTAACACTAGTTTAAMGGTTCCTTCCTGCTAACCCATGACCAATGTGGTACTGGGACGTGGACACTGGTCAAGTGTCTGAAATTTTTTTTTGGAATAAACATCGAGATTTTTATA